CCAGATTACAATCAACTGGCAAAAGACTGACAAACTCAAGACTGTGTCCTCTATAACCTAAACTACTTTATAACCTAAACAATACGAACTCTCAGGTAAAAAGTACAGTCATCCCTCAGTTTCCAAAATGGATTGGTTTCAGGAGCCCCCGTGAATACCAACATCTGAGGCGGCTCAAGTCTCTTATATAAAATGACAGTACAGTACAATGAATACAGTCAGCCCTCCTTATCCACAGGTTTCACAGCCAAGGGTTCAACCAATCTGGGTTCAATTCAAATGACTGAATTCAATCCATGGTTGGTTGAGTCTGTGGATATGGAGGGCCGAGTGTATATGCAATGGCGGGTTACAAATATCTACTAGCCACTCATTAAACTCAATTCTTTTAGAACAATATTATTCTAGAAATCTCCTCCCACATTATGTTTCCAAAATAGGTCCCATTTTCAGCAGGTCTGGCCCAAAAATATTGTGGCACAGAGCAATTAATGGTCAGGGGTTGGCTGGCTAACTTAGCCAGTGACAATGAGGACAATGAAGGATGGATATGAAATACTTCACAAGTTGGGCCGACAAACATGGTGACAAGTATACAAAAGGGAGGCATTTATTCTCGCATATAAAAATCTGTCTTTGGTACTAGACAGATAACAGTGTCACACAGGTAAAGAGAACAGAGGACTAAGGTTACCAGTGGGTTTGGTTAAGTGAGTGGAGCTATAAAGCTCCATGTAGAACTCACTGGGCTTATATATGCCCTTATGAGACATTCAAATGGAGATAAACTCTAGGGCCTGGAGATCAAGACATCAGGGCAGATTTAGGAGTCATCAGCATACATGTGATAGCTGAATCTACACAGAAAAAGAGGGGCAGCAGAAAGAACCCTAAAGAACATCAACATGTAACAGGTGAGTGCAGGTGACCTAGATGTAGGAGATAAAAATCCAGGGGTGGGGGGAGTTTTAGGAAAGCCAAGGAAAATAGTTTTAAAGAGGAGGAAGTGATGAACAGCAACAAATGCCATAAAAAGGGCAAGAGCTAAATAGAACATTACATTGGATCTGGTAATTAGTGACTGTATGACAAAGCTGAGGGGTAAAAATGGAAATTGGATTTCAGAAAAGTGATCAGCAAATAAGAAAAGGAAATAATAAACAAAGGTCACTTGTTCGAGAAGCAGAGTTTAACAGAATATATTTAGCTTTTCTGAATGTAGAGGCTTTGCCTGATACTCAGGGATAGATCCATGAGTGATTCTTAAAAAAAAAAAAAAATCCTGTCTTTAAGTTAGTTCTTATTCAATTACAGCATTTTTATGTCAAATAGAAATATTAAGTGCTCAAAAGATGTAAAGTGTTTTTCCATGCACCGTTCTGGATATTAACGTGTTTTCTTATTCAATCCTTGCAAACCTATGAAGTAGGTATTACTATTCCTAATTTACAAATGAGACAACTAAGGCACAGAGAAGATACGGTACTTGCTGAGGTCTCATAGCTAGCAGTATGGTAGTCAAGCCCAAAATTTCACACAAAAGAGTAAGAGGGAGGGTGGGCAATGTGTGAAGTGAGGGTTAATAGATGAGAACTGTAAATGTTATAGTTAAGACTGTACTGACTGTTTAACCGGCCAAAGTTTAATATCTGTTCAAGAACTTATTTTCAATTTGAAAGAATTTGTGTCTTCTCTCATCTCAGAATCATACATTGCTAAGACCTGACATTTTTATGTCTCTTATGACACTCAGATTCAGCACTGCATTACAACTGTGTCATTTCTCCTACTGAACTGCAAGTTACTTGAAAATGGGAGTGTATCTTTTTTTTTTTTTTAAACATCTTTATTGGGGTATAATTGCTTTACAATGGTGTGTTAGTTTCTGCTTTATAACAAAGTGAATCAGTTATACATATACATATGTTAATGGGAGTGTATCTTATTTGTCTTTGTATCTCTATTCCCTCAATCGTAAAAGTAGAAGATACTAGACTTACTGCAGTAACCATTTCGCAGTATACACAAATATCAAATTATGTTGTACACCTGAAACTAATACACCGTTACATGTCAATTATACCACAATTATAAAAAGAAAGATTCTCAGTAAAGGTTGGTTGTATGAATAATCATTTCACTTTTCTGAAGTTTCTGGGGGCTTCAATAACATATTATTAAAGTTTTTAATCGCTGTGTAGGACTGCTGTGCCTCAGATATTACTTGGATCGTGTATGGACCACGCAATTTACTGATTTTGGTGGAAATACCCTTCTGAAGTAAAAATCAAATATAATTCCCCTGGATAAAACCCTTTAAAGATTCCCTATCACCTACTAGTCAAAGGTCATAGCCCTGCTCTCCAACCTTAACCTTAACCCACTCTACCTGGTCCCAACTACCAAACCACCTATACTTCTTCAATGGTCCATTGCAACATATGTGTTCACCGGGTGAACGTCTCCTCCTCCATCAAGACAACTGAAATTCTTTTTTTTAATCATCATTACTTTTTTAAAAAATTAATTCATTTATTTATTTTGGCTGTGTCGGGTCTTCATTGCTGCACGCGGGTTTCCTCTAGTTGCGGTTAGCAGGGGCTACTCTTTGTTGCGGTGTGCGGGCTTCTCATTGCGGTGGCTTCTCTTGTTGTGGAGCACGGACTCTAGGCGCACGGGCTTCCTAGCTGTGGCACAAGGGCTCAGTAGTTGTGGCGCACGGGCTTAGTTGCTCCACGGCATGTGGGATCCTCCCGGACCAGGGCTCAAACCCGTGTCCCCTGCATTGGCATGCGGATTCTTAACCACTGCGCCACCAGGGAAGTCCAGAAATTCTTTTTTAAAGCCTTCTCATATTCGCAATTTTCATTTTCGCTCTCTCCCTTACTATACTGTACATTTCCTAAAAACAAACTCCACAAGGCAACACTGATATTTTTCATCCTCAGATCTGGCAAGTAGAGGCTCAGTAAGTGTTTAATAAATGTTTATTAAAAGAGTAAATCATTGAAGCATAATTCAGTAAATCTGCAGGAACTATATAATACTGATCAATTATCAAAAGTAAAGATTTTAGGTAGCTTTCCACTACTGATAATGAATGGTGCACTTTTCTATTCTGTCTCATCCCCAAAACTCGTGAATTCAAGATAACTTGTACCTTCATCACCAGCTAATCATGAGCACCATCACCAAACACACAAAAGAGACCCAAGGACTACCAAAACCTCTTTATGACCCAGTCAAACCAATAAGGCATGTTTACAACTATTGGTAAAAGATATGAAAAAACATCACTTAAAAGGCTTTGGAAGTGCTCCAATTTAAGTGTGTGAAATGAATTAAAATGACACAATTCTGGGGCAGCATCTTTTTCATCTTTTTATCTCTAGGTGCATACCACATTGAAGGCACTCAAATATTTACCTTTATAAAACCTGAGACACAGCTAGCTTGGTCAAAGAGAAGCTATGTCAGGTTTTCAGACAGCCCAAGAATATAATGTGTCAGCCTTGAGGCCTTAGGCAAATCATCTGAACTGTTAACATTTTCTTTTTCTCATACACTGCCTCAGCATGTCTGGAACGCAATGTGCTTTAACAAGTCCTGTCACAAGGCACAATGTGTTAGGAGGAGATCTTCACATTTCGTCCTAGAATAACTAAGTCTTCACAGTTATCTTCAAGCTGCTTCACCCATGTTACTTAATCCTGGGCCTTTATTATCTTCATTGTACAGATGGGGGAAGGAAGGACATAAAATGACTTGGCTGAAGAGGTCCACCAAGCCACCAAAAGAGCCTTCATTTTAACTATAAGTTCCTCATCCTCTCGTCACAGAACCGTTTTGTTTGAGAAACTTTCACTGACAGCAGGCAGAAGAGAGCATCAAACTAGTTACTAGCTTTTACTTGTTTAATTTGAATGAATAACCAAAGCTCCCTAGACCTGTAGGTCACGATAGCTCTAGGACAGGAGATTTGATGGATTAAGTTTTGCTGACTGAATCCAAATTCGTAAATCTACCTCAAACTCCTAAATTTCGAGATAGCTTGACCTAAACTTTAAAGGCATTTTTTTTTTTCTCTGTCCAGATCTCTAATTTTTTCAAATTTTGCTCAGTCCCCTAAATGTGTCAAGTCATACCTACCTTTTCAGTTCAGGATCAAGGCTACCAGAATTTTCTCCTACTTAAACAGTAAACCAATCCCTCCTGAATCATGAAGGATTCCAAGGCTCCCATCAATCACAGCCAACTCTAGATCTAGACTCTAATCTGAACTGTTAGGGGAGCCCAGCAATTTCGAATTCCAGGCAGCCCCTCTTACACCACCGAACCACCCTTGGGAGGAGTGCCTCTTCTAATCGTCACCCCATTATGGGGTCCAGAAAAGGGATATGTCAATAGTCTCAGATTCAACAAAAACTATTATCCCCGTTGCAAGTAATGATAACTTGGCAATCACAACTACGGACCTTGAAATGGGGTAATAACTTAAAGATCCCCACATTATATAAACGTGCTGAGAACAAATTATTTAGCAGATTCCATTTCCTGGGCCCAAGTGACTTGCATAACTGGGCGATCAGCATAGGCTCGAAAGAGAGCGGGGAGCTCACAATTCAGTTTACTGTACTTTACCACAGAATTCTACACCAAAATATTCTCACACATGCCTGCCTGTAGATGATGTAAATTCTTCCCCAGGTCTTTTAACTAGACCGCTGGCGGGGTTCTCTTCCTCTGCAGTGGCCACGGGCCACCAGCAACTCATTCTAACGGCTGTCCCCTGCGGCTCGAGCTAACAATCCCCCAAGCCCGCGAGTCCCGCAGCCTCTGCTAAGCGGACACCTCAGCCCCAAACTGGCCATCCCCTCCTCCCCCACGTCCCCGCGTCGCTCGTCATCCCACGCCAAGCGCCACCCTCTCTCCATCCCCGATAGGATTTGGGGCTTAGCGCTGCGACCGCCAGCGGGAGCTGTCCCCGAGCTGGCACCTACCTCCCACCTCCTCCTCCTCCAGGCGCGGCCGGGGGTCACCGCTCGCCTTCCTCCTCCAACGGCCCCAACGGCCACGCCGAGCCTCCCGCAGAGAAGCGGGGCGCCGCGCCAGGTGCCGGTGCTCACCTCCGCGCCCTCCCGCCCGCCCCCCGCCCGCCTGCCCCTGGCCCCAGGCCCCAGGCCCCGCCGGCACCGTCGCCCCTCCCCGGGCGAGCGCGTCACAATCCCCAGCGCGGGGCGAGGCTCTCACCGTCACGGCCCCCGGGTGCGGCGGAGACGCACCGATCAGCGTCCTAGACCTGCTCGCGCAGCCCCGAGGGCCCGCACAGGCGCCGCGGCACGCAGCGCCCGGGCCGGCGGCCCCGCCTCCACCTCCAGCTCCCGCCTTCCCCGCCTCCGGCCGGGCTCCGCCTCTCCCCTCGCTGCAGCCTCCAGAACTCTGCAGGTTTGCAAGGTTCCCACCCCGCCCCCGCGTCGCCGGCGCCGCAGGCCAGCCTCCTCCCATTGGCTCCGCCAGTTGCTAGGCGATGAACAACCGCGGCCTGCATTGGTCCGGTGGGGGCCCCTGAGTCTCCTCCCCACCTCCAAAAAAACCCGGAGAAAAAGAAAACCTTATCCCTAGAGCCCAAGCGGGATGCTGGCGCAGCTGCAGCTGCGGCACCTGTTACGCCCTGTGATTCACCCTGCCGGGCCCTGCTCCCCACCCCCTCCTCACGCCCGCGGAGCTCGGGGCCCAAAGCTTCGTGGGGCTGGGGGCGGGGTGGGGAAGTCGTGTCTGTTTTAAAGCACGTGTTCCGAGCCCCGGTGAACCCCAGCACCCACCCTAGGAGCAAAGGTGGAGCGCCCAGAAAAGCCACGTGTGCTTGCAAAAGTGGGGAAATAAACCAAACAACAGCCGGTACCCAGAATTAGGTCAGGCCTAGGGGAAGGGAGGTTCAAGCGCCGGGAGACGAGAATACCAAGGAGAAAGTTCATGTAAAATTAGGACAAGAAATGGACCTAGGCGGAAGACAGCGGAAAGACTAAGAAAAGGCACTTGTGAACTAGACGTTTATGCAAAAAAGTCCCACACTCACTGATCAAAATATGCGCAAAGAAAATGTATGCCTGCTACACCCGTAGCCGAGGTCATGCAGGCTCCTCCCCTGTTCCACGGCAGCCTAAAATTCTCCAGGGAAGATGAGAGGCCAGAGAAAGGAAAGAGATCAGATGGAGAAATCGCAGGCATATGAGTTGAGTTATAAACACAAGATGTACTTGGATAGATTTTTTTTAAAGTGAAGCCAAGAAATTTACTCAAGAAAGGAAAAACAGGTTTGGTATTTTAAGGAGGCTCCTGAGAGCACTTTGAAACCAAAATAGTATGAGAGAAGGACAAGAAATATTAACACTGAAGAACAAGGGAGAGAGGAGTGCCCCCTTCCAATTTACACACACATATCCCCATTCCTGAATGAAAGATCAAGGCGAGAAAATGAACATGCCATGGCGACAACTTCAGAAACCAAGGTAATTCTCCTGTTTGCCTTTGGCCTAAGCGATCAGGAGGCCTGGATTGATGCTGTTAAGCATAAGTGAATGACAGCGGAATCGCCAGTTAGGGCCCTCATTGTAAGGACGCTATTACCGCAGCCTGGTAGGGAGGAAAGCCAGTTATTACCAATAATTACCTTAATCGCTAACCCAGACAACTGATGGGAGTAAAGGGGGTTACACCTGCTCCCGAGAGGGGTTTTGAAATTTCAACTGTCCATCCCCCAAAATCCCACACCCCTTCCCATCTTAAGAAGCAACTTAGTGTGACAGTTTGAAGTAACACTTCCAGGTTCATTTTGACCATTTTAACCTCCTCACAGTCAAAAAAGCGAGAGCTCACTCTCCGATTAGCTAGAAGCTTTGAGATCGGTTGATTCGATACGCAGCGTCTGGCACTCCCTGTTGTGACCTAGCCACTTACATTGCAGGATTTTAAGAAGGCTTGGCTCAGGCAGAGGTGAGCTCAGGGAAGTTCGGCTCCGCCCCCAGCCGCAAGGATGAATCAGAGCTGTCTGATTAAACTAGTGCTTTAGAATCTTTTGCTCTACTCCTAAAAATTTTTGAGGGCCCCAAAGAGCTTTTGTTTATGTGGGTTATATCTATTGATATTTACTATGCTAGAAATTAAAACTGAGAAATTTAAAAATATTTATTTTAAAATAATAATAATTACATCTTATCATAAATAGCAAATTTTTATGGAAAATAACTATATTTCCCCCTAACATAGTAAAAAGAATCATAGTATTTTAAAAATTTGCAAATATCTTTTAGTGTCTGGCTTAGTGGAAGGCAATTGGATCTTCAAATCTGCTGCATTTAATCTATTGCACTATTTCAGGTAGCCTTTGGAAAACTCCACTGTACACTCAGAATAGGAGAAAAAAAAAGGCAAATAACATTTTAGTATTATAACAATAGTTTTGACCTTGCAAACTCCCTGAAAGTGTCTTGGGGATCACCTCCTAAAATCCCCTTGCCCCCCCACCCTTTCTCCAATTAATACTTTGAGAGCCACTGGTCTAGATGGGTCTTGATACTTCATCCCCCTTTATCAATGACTGGTTTAGGAGCTAAGCATGCGACCTAATTCTGGTGAGTACATAATGGGAAGTGGGGGGAAGGGGACTTCAGGGGAAGGGTTTTATCCCTGAGAGCCCCTAAGAAGTCTTTTCTTTACTTCTTGCCTTGGCCATCCTCCAGTAAGCAAGACATGTTTGGAGCTGTGGTGGCACATCCCGTAACAATGAGCAAGAAAAATACAGGAAAGGTAACCCAGAACCTAGAAGTCACTAAGTGGCTAAGTTAACCTACCCTGGCTCTGCAAACCTCCAGACTGCTCACATATGAGATAGCAAGTGGCCTATCACCTAAGCCATTTGGGGTCAGGTATTTGGTTACTTGCAGCCAAGAAGATCCTGACTAATGTACAGGACAAGATAAAGAGTCTGGCTACAGCCTGAAAATAGTCTAAGGACGCTTTTTGGCCCAGAGGTAAAGGAATTGACTTAATAGAACTTTGCTATGGTAAAGGAAATAAAGGGGAAAGACACAATCTAGAATGTTTTTTAATGCTTAACTGTGCCTACTTTCCCCCCTTCTAGCAAAATTAAGGGGATGTGACTATCAAGTGTTGCTGTTTTCCAAAACACATCAAAATTTCCACCTTGCTCCTCTGTAGTCTATATCACAGTGGTCAGAGTAATTCTTTAAAAATATAATTCATATCATGACGACTTTCTGTTTTGATTCCCCCCAGCCAGTGTTAAAGCCAAATTTCTTTCCGTGGCTACAAGTTTCTTATGACCTGCCCTCCGTCTCCTTACCTATCTGACCTCATATCCTACAGCTCTCTCCATTAGCCACTGTTCTTCGTTCTTGCCAGGCACTTTCCTGCCTCAGGACCTTTGCACTATTCCCTCTGTTTGAATGTTCTTCCTCTTAAAATCTATATTACTTATCTCTCCCCTTTCAAATCTAACCAGTCACCCTCTTGTGAGGCCCAAGCTAACAACATTATTTAAAACTGGAACCCCCTCCAGCTTCCTAAATATCTCTTACCTTGCTCTTATGTAATCTTCAACCATAGTACAGAGTTTACATTTTTTTTTCATTTGTTATTTGTTTAGTCCATTTCCCTTTACTAGAATGTAAGCCCAACAGGGACAGAGATTTTGTTTGATTGTTCACTGATGTATGCCCAGTGTCTAAAACAGTGCCTGGTACTTAGTGATTGGTGCTCAATACTTATTTGTGAATAAATGAATATAACTTCAAATGGATGTTTTTCATTTCAAATAAATCACTTTGGCAGGCTATATACATGTTCCCATGATGCTGCTCACAAGTATCACATTAGGAGACACTGAATTTTTGAAAGGAATTCTCTCTTTGAGAAAAAATCTGATTTTTGGAATGATCCAAAAGTTATTCAGAGCCAAATCTGATGAACACATTCTGGAGTCATGTTCAAATGCCAAAACCTGTGTTTTCCAACTAAGTTCCTGCATTTGGGTGGATAGGGAAAGGTCAATAAACAAGATGTGTTTGATTTTCTAAGACAGTAAAGTGACTGTGAACATAATTTCAAAGAGGAGTTCTAAAAATACACACTAATAACACGTTGAAGGAAAAGTATACATGTATTTTAAACTCTCTATGTTTGTGTGTATGTGTGAATGAATCTCTTCCAACCTGTCTGCGGTCTTCCATTCTTGCCCCTACTTTTTTTTCAAAAATGAAGATCGGATCCTCTCTGCTGCCCGCCCCCCCATCTTCAATTAAGAATCTTTCATGGCCTTTCATTGTATTTAGCATGAAATTGAACTTCCTACCCAGTCATGCATGCATGATCTGGCCCCTATACCCCTCTTAGAACTCTTACTTTGGTTATGCAAAGTGCCAGCCATAGTGGCCCCCTTTTTTCTCCTCTGGTCCTTTGAACCTGCCATTCACTCTGCTGCAAGGCTCTTCCAAGAAGGTTTCAAGACTCGGATTCGTTTTCGTCATTCAGATCCCACTTCCATATGTAAAGCAACCTCCCCATGTCTGGTTTATTTGTCTACTTGTTTGCTTACTTATGGCCTGTCTCCTCCCACTAGAATGTAATCCCCCTGAAGGCAGGGACCTTGTTGGTCATGTTTGCCTCTGTAGTCCCAGCCCCTTCATGCCTTCCCTGGAGGGTTGCTAACCATACTGTTAATAGTAAGATTGCTTTACATTTTATTATCTTCGGTGACTTATGAATTTTTATAAGTATGTATTATTATAATTTTAAAATATTTTAATTTTGCTGAAATAAATAGGCTCTGATTTTAATACATGTAGTAAGTTAATAATCCACCCCCTATTTACTCATATGTGTTCCTCAGAAACCAGTGTTTCAAATACCCCAGCAAACATTCAGGTCACACTGCTTCTAATACCATGTATATTCAAATCTGGATAATAATGGGCCAACTTAGAAAGGCTTTCTGCTGTAATTCATACCATCTGGATTATTTCAATAGCAGCAACAATTTCTGGATCTAGTGAAGACCATTGCTTTTCAGGGCCTGTATGCTCTAACAGATGAGAAGAGGGGCTGGGTCACCTCTCTTAATGGCCTCACTTTCATTA